TTATTCAATGCTACTTTTCTAGAAATTTTAATCTTTTCTTCATAGTCTAATAATGTTCAGATTAGTTTTCAAATTTACTCATCCTTTCTCTTTGCTCTTCCTTTTATCAATGAATCATTTTTTTAGCTATTTTTTTATGAATGAGTTGAACTTTATAGTTAGTAAAACCACATCATTCTATCCATCTCGCCATCTTTAGATTCATCAGCTCTTTGAGATCACACAGATCCCTCACAAGTATAAAATAAAAGCCCTCTTAATAAAAACAAATATTAATGTAGAGGAAGAAGAAGACAATATCAAGTGCATGGTCTTAAGCAAGAATTTCACCAAAGGTAATGTTGTATGAGACGCCCATAAAAGAAGAATAAGACAAAATACAAAAGGCCAAAGCAAAACACTAACCTATGAAGACTTTTATTTAGATTTTTTATATTTTATGTGTGATAATTATAATAATGGAATATGCTATGATGATTTTGAGTTGTTGTAGAAATTAGAAAGTGAGTGAAATTTTAAAAATCTAGGAAATTTGATTTTTTTTTTTTTAAATTTAAAATTTTTAAAAAATAAGAATTTAAAAATTATAAAAATTTGAGTTTTAAAATTTTAAATTTTAGAGGGAATGGTTAATTCCTTACATACACATATTTAATTGAATTAATTAATTCAAACTAAATATGAGGCCATACTTGGCTGGCTAGAGAAGGCAGGAAGAACAAAGGCAGTTATTGGAAGCTATACTCTCTGTCCTACACTAGTTTTGTTGGCCCCTCACTCTCTCATTTTCTCACCTTTGTGTGGATTTCAAATGTAATATTGTAAATATGTAAGAGTGATGGAATAAAGAAGTGGTTGTTTTCTGCATAATTACGAACTCTAATTAATATAATCCTTCTAAGGAATGACGATTTATTTGGTCCTTTTTATTAGCATAAGTCAACCAGGTTATTTTCGAAAGGTAGGGATCCGACCACGTAAGGGAAGTAAGCTAGTGGTTTTGGCATGGAAAGAAAAATAGATCTAACAAGCCACATGCGGACTTATGTAGGACTAAGTAAAGCCAATCTAGGAATCACATATAAAAGTTAATGATAGCCTTTCAAACATGATTGAAGCATATCAAATTCATGGAGGAGAGAAGCATTTCGCAAATGGACTTGGTTTTAGGTATGTGGTTGACTTTTCAATGTGTATTTGTGGATGATACATTGCTACACTTGATATGAGGGAATTTTTAATGGCTGATTTTACTTATGTATGACTATGTCTTACTAATCTATGAAGCACATATAGAAGTTAATGGTAGTCCTTCAAGGGATTGAAGCAAATCAAATTCATGGAGAATATGTATTCTGCACATGAACTTAATTCTAGGCATTTAGTTTTTACTTTTTTAATGTTTTTGCAAATAATAAATTGATATACTTGATACGGCTCAAGAGATGATTACCACACTAAATCTACTCAAAGTAATCAAAGTTTTTACTTGAATATTGTTGACCCCTATATATATATATATTTCACAATTAATTGAGTGCATTGAGGAAAACGAATGACAGATATGTCGCTTGTTAGAGCATCGGGACACCTCGATCGCCTTCGAAATGGCTCAAAACTTTTTCTGATCATGAAATAAATCATGTCAATGCATTCAAGATACCAAATTTATCAAGGAAGAGCCACTCATGTGTGACTAGGCCAAAGACCAATAATGAAAGTGATATTTGGTGGGCACGACACTGCATAAAATTACCCAAACGACATCCATTCATCAAACAGACTATACTGATACGATCGTACCATCAAGATGAACCCCCTGCAATTGAATTGAGTGACAACAATTGAAAACGACGGTTTACATATGTGACGATGCGCGACATTACTCGAATGTCGCCCGTTCGCAAAACGGACCTCGTCATTGGGTCCAGAATGTCATGAATATCTAGAATTGACAGTAATATTGTCAAGATTATTGGACAAGCAAATAGAACGAAATAAGCATTAGTTTCGATGTGTGATGTTGCCCAAAAATCATCCGCTCGCAAGACTGACTTCATCGTTGCATCCGAAACGTCAAAATTACATATAATAAATAGTATTATTGTCATGATTATTGGACAAGCGAAAAAGCGAAATCGGCACAAGTTTCAATGCACGACATTGCCCACACATCATCGGTTCGCAAAACGGACTTCGCCGTTGTGTTCAGAATGTCGAGAATACCTAGAAATGACAACCATATTATATACGTCCTTGCAAAAGTGAAAATGCAAAATTGGCTTGAGTTTCAAAGCGAAGGCATGCTAATCGAGGCAAAGCAAGTAAATCAAGATGCACTAATCACGAGAAATTGCACGAGAATCAATTCACATCTTTCATATTCATTTTAAAATCTTAGTTAAAATAGAATATACATACCTATAAATTATTTAAGAATAAAATTACAATTAAATAATATACCTCTTTTGTCATCTCCCTTCCTAACCCATGCAAAAATCCTGATCAAATCCCTACACAGCCGCCCTATCTTTACCAAATCCCATCCAAAACTGCTACAGCCCACATTCCAATCAAAATGAGGAATATAATATAGTAAAAATAATTAAAAAAAAAAATCCTAAACTAATTTTCTATTACTCTCATTTCCTCTCATACTTCTCTGCTCTCTCCATTCTCACGCAATAGCCATTCCTGCAGCTCTACACGCTCCTCCCACTGTATGCCTCCCCATCTCCCTATTGCTGCCAGCCAAACTATTCCCTTATTCCTCATCTCCCATCCCCCACTTGCATCTCTCAGTCCTGAGAACACCAGTCCACGTAGCAGCCTTCAGCCCTCCTTGCGGTTACCTCCTCTACCCAACCCGGCCACCATCTCCACCAAACAACCAACATCCGACCATGCTGTAGCTGCAGTCCCGAAATCCACCACCACCTCTACCATGCTAGTGCTCAAGCAAATCAGCCACCTGCCATCCTTAGTTCAATCCCCACATGCTGCTACCACCATCGTTTGCTCCGTTCCTCAGCTTCTCACATTAGACGGAATCTCCCTCACCCCACTGCAGCAGCCCCATTCCACCTTACAAGCAGCAAACAGCAGCCGCAACTCCTGAACTCCCTTCCTATTCTCTCACCTGCAGCCTCACAACCAAACACCACTACCTACAAAAGCCCATTAATCCACTGTGCAGCCCACCTACAGCCCAACAAAGCCACTAAACCCATCTTCCTTACCTCCAAAACAGCAGCTGACTACACATCTTCTCCACTACTACACAGCAGCTTCCTCTAAACTGAAACCGAATTCCACCTTCCTCCTTACTTATCTGTTGAGCCCAAATCAGCCCTCTCCCTTAACCAGCAAACCACATCTCCACCTTACATTTCCCTGACTTAACTAGCAAGCCCCTATACCTCACCCAGCTCGACCAGAGCCCAAGCCTGCACCCAACGGCCCATCTCCTCTACAGCCCAAACTGCACTTCTCTGCTATACCTAACCACTTTCCTCTTCACCTCACAACAACCATTATTCCAACGTACACCCAAACAGCCCACCTACACCCCACTACAAACTATCACTTGCAGCTCATTTCTGTTCACCTGCATACCTCAACAATCAGCTCACTACAATCTATCACTTGCAGCCCATTTCTCCTCACTTGCATATCTCAACAATCAGCCCACTACAAACCCAACAGCAGCTTTCTTCCACCACTACAACTAAACTCCAATATCCCACTTCAACCACTGTTCAACAGCCACTCCTCTAATCCACAACGCAAATCCCACTCACAGAACCCAAGAGCAATAGCCCGCAGCAGCCCATCTTCTCCCACAATTTTTATGCAGATTTCCCATTGGAAAGTATCGTAGATGGTCAAATTATGACCTACTAGCCTCTTAATGTCTAACACATAGCCACTTCTCTATGACACATCCATGAGAACCTATGAATACCTACTTCACCATGTCTACCTTTTAAGGGATTACAAATGGTGACTCCTTTCTTTGTTCTTCATAGAATGGAGGTGGAAAGTGAAAATAAAAGAAACGAAAAACTATCAAAGCTCCTTATGACCTGTGGCTCCTATAATCTATAGCAAAGAAAAAACTTTTGGCTCTAAAATCCCAGCTTATTATAAGGCTAGTGAGCAGGAGAGAAATTAAGCTGAGCCTAAATACTTCAAGAAAATTCTTCTCTATTAAATTTATTTTTTCATTAGCTCCTCCTTTGCTTCATGCTCTCTTCTCTCTTTTTTCTTCTTCTCTCTCTATAAACTTTATTTTTCCATTAGCTCTTCCTTTGCTTCATGCTCTCATCTCTCTTTTTTCTTCTCTTTTTTCATAACCCCTAACCTTTGAAATGGTTTTGCAAGTCAAAACCATATACAACTCTCTAAGGAGCCTCAGCTTGAATAAAAACAAAAAATGAACACACTATGCAAGCATAATAGGATACAAAATTTAAAAGTTCAATTTGATAGAATGCTTCAATGCACACAGCTCGAGTAACAACTCGGCTGATTATTAAAAACAAGAACTACGTATATCATCGCACACAACTAAACCAACAACTTCGCCGATTGTTAAAAGCAAGGAGTTAGAAACTATTTTCAAAGCTATGGCAATAATAGAACATAAACTTCTCTAAAATGCATGGATCTATCATCATACAAGTATCCTGCCAGATGATTGAAAAATATTCAACTAGAAGTGCCAGAAACATTAACTAAAATGGGTTTAACATAAATTTAAAAAAAAATGATGTGAGCAAATAATTGGTGTCTATTAACTAGAAAGTAATCATGAACAAAGTATAAACATTACAATCTACAAGAACAAATGGGTAAAAAAGGAAGCTATGCTTTATGAAGAAATAGCAGTGCTAGAAATTAACAAAATCATTCTTCAACCACGCCAAGAAGATATGTATATTCATTAAAAGGATGCAAGTATACAGAAATATGAGTGCAAACAATTCCAAAAAAAAAAGTTTAGGAGTGAAGCAGCGCTAGATCTTCACATGAACATGAAATGAAGGAATAGTACAATTCAAGTGAACATAAAATAAGAAGCATATAGAAAAAGATCAATGACAGTTCTTATTCAACACAGCGTCATTTCACAAACTAGTAAATACGCTTTTTTTTTTTTTTTAATCCAATCCTTTGGTAAGGATGTAGTAAATACGCTATGTTATAAGACTGCATAATCTCCACATGCATTTTCATACAATAAAAGTTTGAAAGATTTTAACCTCATACATAGGAAAGCAACTTGAAGTAGATAACGATATAAATAGAGAGTGACAACATAGCCAAGATATGCTGCCAGAATAACAGAGCTGATGCTTCCTTTACAGCATAACCCCTCAAGCTTGAAATTGCTCCCAACAAGATAGCACTCGGCATTGTATACTGCAACAAAAGAACAAATCTGTACATCTGACCTTCTTGGAGCAAAAGATGTAATCTATCTGCCAAAGCCACTACCCCTATTCCAATAAATGGCAAAATCAAAAGCCTTGCAATAATGATACCAACTGTAGTTCTGATGCCAAGAGACGAATCATTTGGTCCTTCTGCAAGTATACCTCCAAGAATTAGCATCACTGAAGGAACAACTGCCCCTGCTAAGATCTCAAGACTGTCAGTAAAAAATGACAGTGGAGCATCACTCCCAAATACAAAATCCCTAAACGCAGGAACCATCCCAACAATAATTGCCAGTAGAGATGCTATTGTAGGTGGCTGAAGAATATGCCGGATAGGAGTCTCTTCAGCAACAATTCTCATTCTCCGAACCACCTTCGGCTCTGCCAAGCACCTTATAGACTTTGGACTGCTCGGAGCAAGTACACCTCCCTCTTCGTTTAGATCAATATCAGGGAAGGTATTTTGTGATGACCCTGAGATGCTAGCGAAAACCCTTGCAATAAAAGGAGTCTTTGAATGCACTGTTTCCTTCTCCTGCATGCCAGGCCACTCAGCTTCTTGGAGCAGAGGCCTGCTGATATTACTGATAGCAAGCTCTTCCTCAATCTCATTTTCCTCTGCAACGATCTCATAATATGCCATAGGGGGCTCCATCATATGGTATACCAAGGTATACACAAGAATTACTGCAACCCATTGGGCGAAAGAGACATACGCAATGCCTGTCCGACTACAATTAGGGCCAAAGGGGTGATTTGTGCTGTGGCATACCGATCCAATAATAGCAATGGGCAGATTTCCCGTGTTGCCAAAGCCAGTCATGATCACCGTCAACCTAAAGAACTGAGGTGGAGGTCGGCAAATGACCGCCACGACATATCCAAGAATACAGCCAATCGCCGTGCTTATGAGCACGTTGACTGGCACAAACCACCACTGAAGGGCCTCTTCCAAGGTAATGGATTCGCCAAGGTGTACAAATATGAGACAAGGGAGGAAGAGAGCGAAGACAAGCTTACTTAGAAGCTTGAAAGTGGCACGGGGAACAATCTGGATTTTGGGGTGCGCAAGTATGAGGCCAATGACAGTAAGGGTTAAAAGCTTCATAAGCGGCACCACAGCAGAAAGCCAGTTCTGATTCCCTTGCTCTATTCTGCTGTCCATAGAGGAAAATCTCCCTAACTCCGATGCAAGCTCAAATCTGAAAAACAGCAAACATAAGTTGTCGCATAAATTCCAACAGGATTCAGCGTTATCGACAATTTTTGCCAATAAATCTGTTCAAAATTGAAAAACAACAAGTACCAATCTTAAGAATTTGTTTTAGTAATCCTGCATAGCAACAAAATAGAAATCATAAATCAAAGAAAGAAACAAAATCACCAAGATACTTGACGAAAAGAGGAAGAAAAACAAGTTCGCCGAAAGTAGGGTTTCAGATAGTAACCAGAACAATAGGTTGCGGAGAGAGAGAGACAGAGCGCGAAGGGGAGGTCCTAATTCTTTTTACTCGAGACAATCACGGAATTGAGATGAGATGGCAGATCAAGGAGGCAGAGTTGAATCAGAATACAATCAATAAAAAATCTTTAAGAAAATTAATTAGTTACGAACAGATTCATCAATCACCGCCACAAAAGTCACCGCATTTCTATGCTGCATGTGCGGGCCAGCACCCTGTTGGCGGCGCGACGATTGACCGGTTAGCATATTATATACATAATTAAATGGCGGTGACTTCACCGAGACTTACTTAACGGTGACTCTAGGAAGGGAGGTCCACGTCTCGAGCTGCATTCGTACTTATAAAAAAATAATTTCCTCAAAAATAAAACATCTCAGCTCATCTAAATTAAAATAATCTTTTTTATTTTTTTTTAGAAAATGAGGACAAAAAGCTCATATATTACTATGTAAAAATGGATTACAAGTAAATTATAATAAAAAAGTTAAACCTCAAACAAAATGAAGAGAAATAACCAAAAACCTATACCCCTATAGAGACAAAAGGAATTACAATCTGTAAGCGGCAAAAAAAAAGGAGCTGCCATCCAAAAAGAGATGTGTAAACATCAAAATTAGACTCAGACTGCTAATCGCGCAAACCGACAGAATAACCAGCAACACCGAATAGAAATCTCCTGGTTGCCCAAAAGGTCCTTCAAGGAGAAGATTAGCAGCTACATCATCGTCCTTCTACGAAAACCTCCAAAAGAATCAGTCCAAGGTTGCTAAAAGACAGTCGTCCAAGGAACTGAAAATACGAGACCATCAACAAATGCCAAGAGAGAGTTTCAGCCAGTAGAGAGATCCAGCAAAAGATCAACTCAAAGAGTCCGTCTAGAAGAGCAATTCAACCCGCACAGTGCATAATAGCAAGACCACCATGACAGTAGCAAATCAAGAACCTCCAAACAGCAATGCCGCATCCAAACAACCAGTCGAGTGGCCAAAAATAACCCCCAAACATATACAAAAAAATAGAAATAGCATTAAGGCGGCCAAGGAATTCTCAGATTTTCAGAGTGCTTCCAGGTTGAGACCTTAGCCTCAACCACAGATTTTATGATAGAGCAAAGAGTGGAAGCACGTCTAAATTTAAAATTAAATCTTCTTTCGTTCTCTCCCTCTAGAGATAATAGGTAGCACAGCAAGCAGTAAGAAGAAGTAAATCTTTTTTATTATTGATCTGGTATGCCCTCTCTAAGTAGTGCAGAACTTGAGTGAGCCGTAGTTTTAAAAGAAAATCTCCCAGATCTGGAATCAAGTTATGTAAAACTGAGAAGGCATAGTCACATTCAAAAAGGAGGTGATAGTTAGTCGTATCGTGAGAAGAGCATAAAAAACAGATGGAAGGCACTGCAATGGTCCTCTTAATAAGCTCCTCTGCCGTTTTAAGGCCACCATTAAGAGCAATCCAAGTGTAAATTGAGTATTTAAGGGCATGTTGTTTGTGCCACACATAATTATGCCAATCAACAGTGGCCTCTTACCTATAAAAAAATTTATAAAAGAAGAGAAACAAGACTTTTCCCTATCTTTCTAAAGTATAGTGCTTTTAGAATCAGAAGTGATGCCAATATGAGCCAGAGCTAGGTTCAAATCCTCATAAACGTTACTCAGAAACAGTCATCCATCCTCCCCCAAAAAATCAGTGACCATGGCCTGCTGAGGAATTAGATTTTCCAAATAATAATTTGGAAAAGCAAATGGTAAAGACCTTCCATTGAACCATGGATCCCATAACAAAGCAATGGTACTATTAGAGTTGATTTCAAATTGAATGTTGGAAGTGATTTGCAAGGCAACCTTCACAATTTCTCTCCAAAGAGGAGAGGCTTTGCTCTGAACCTGGGTCCAAGGTGTGCCATATTTAGCATTCATGAAAGTATACTATATTTGACATTGTAAAATCTGAAAATTAGAGAGCAAAAAATTTGTAAATTAAAGGTCAAATAAATTAGGTATGCCCAGTCCACCATTCTTTTTAGGTTTGCAAGTTCTCTTCCAAGCAATGAGGTGTAGTTTTTTTTTTTTTTTTTTTGCCTCCATATCACTAAAATAGAGAAATCTAGCATGCATTCTGCTTAAACTCTTAATACAATATTTTTGAAGTATAGCCCCCCTAATCCAATAAGCAATAGTATTGCAAACCGTGTATTTTAGAAATTGAAGGTGACCCGCAAGTGATAACAGTCTAGCTTTCCAGCCAGCTAAATGGTTGGAGATGGAATGCATGAGGGGCTAGAAATTCGCTTTACATATTTTTTTGGTTGAAATAGGTATACCAATTATGTCATCTTTGCACAGAAAGAAGGCATATTAAGGGTCTCACAAACAGCCATAGGATTAGGAATGAAACTATAAATAATAAGCTGGTTCTTCTCATTATTCACCAGTAAGCCAGAGACCATAGCAAATGATTCTAAAACCTTCCTAAGAACAGCACAGTTATGCATCGATGCTTCCCCAAAAATGAGAAGATCATCAGCGTAGAGAAGGTGAGAGAGTTTCATGTCCTTCTTTTGAATCCCAATAAATCTATCCTGAGAGGAGTCATTGTCAATCATACAAGTAAAAGCATCCATCGCAATACAGAATAAATAAGGGCTAAGGGGACATCCTTGTCTAATGCTAGAAGAGGAATGGAAGTAGCCTTCCATAGCATCATCAATACAAATGGAGAAGTGAACATCTGAGATGCAAGCTTTGATCAAGTGAATAAAGATTGGAGGAAACTTTTTTGTCTCATTCTGGCCAGAATAAAATCTCTAGAGACAGAGTCAAAAGCCTTACGCATATCCTGTTTGGCACACATAATTTTCTTTTTGGCCGACTTTTTGAAATCCAAAAGAATTTCAGAAGCAAGGAGGATAATGTCAGTGGTAATAAGGTTCTTGATCTTATAAAAGACATTACAAAGAGCAATGGGCCTAAAATCTGAAATATTTGAAACATGAGCAGATTTAGGGATCAGAGCAATGGCAGTGGCCTTGACTTTAATGAGAAGATACCCCTTAGAGAAAAAGGACTTCACAGCTTTAAAAACCAAAGGGCTAGTGAAAAGCTAACTAGATTTATAAAACTCAAAATTAAACCCATCAGGATCAGGAGAGGAGTTGGAACTCCCATTGAAGATAGTAGCCTTGATTTCATCATCTGAAACCATCACAGTCAGCAAATCAGATAAATGGGAGGGAATGACAGTACCTTTAGGAATAGGGAGGGGATCACATAAAGAAGCAACAAATATTCTCATGCTCACGCAACAAATCAAGCCTACGATCCGAAGGTAAGAATTGGTGGATTCACCCAAAAATTGGACAAATATATTAAATTAATAGTATGTCTTTTCATAATTTTGGATCTCTATTCATATTTGCATGAGAACTATATGGGATGAATAGTGTTATGCTTAAGATTTATTTGGGATGACTTTATTACTGTTTTTTAAAATAATTTTTGTAAACATAATTTTTTTTGAACTAAAAATTATTTATATTAATAAACTACTTTATAAAGCATTAAAAAAGACACCATGAAGCCTTAGTTTTCTATTTTGGAGTCTCTTTCTCAAGGTAATAATAGAAACCTCGATCTTTCCACTTTGGGTTGTCCAGTTCACATTACATGCGTGAGAGAAGTTACCTTATGTATTATTTAGTGCATTAGGTTTGTATTGGATCCATTGATCTTGTGCAATGCTATCTTATCACTTTCATTGGAAGCTCACTAGCTTGCTTTACAAGTTCAACAACAACTTAACAGGTCATTATTACTTCCTACTAATGGTAGAGTGACATCATCGCCTATCACTAAATTGCGTTCAGCTAAACTGTAGTATGATATTCCAGCTTCTATGCATGCATCAACTACAATGTCCCACCCTTAAGGCTTGCTTAAAAGTTCTGATTGTTGCTTGATAGGACATAAGTATGTTGACTATATTTAGGGTGAGAAACTGGAAAAAAAAATGTTTTATGCATACACTAAGGCACAATCTCCTCAACATTTTATGCAAATTTCTACTAAGAAAATCAACAAAAAAATAAAAAACTTACAGTGGATTTTCCTCAAAACTGTGGCGTTTCACCGGTGATGGAGGCAAACTTCATGGAAGTCTAGACGGTCTTGGTAGCGGCGAGGTTTGGTGGGGCGACACTGGGCGACGGAGGCGAGCGGAGACCTAAACAAAATGGCATAATGAAATAATAAGGCAGATGGACTCGGGAGAGAAATAGGGTTTTGACCGACGATTTTTCCGATGGATAATGTGTTGGTAGTGTTTCCGTTGGTAATATTTCGTTGTGTTTAAAACGACCGGCGTCATATCCGTCGGTAAATACGTCTAAAATTTCTGACGTAAAATACATCGTATTATACAATATGCTTACAGATTACGACGTATATACCAGCGAAACCTGTGTCGGAACAGTACCGACATAATTTTCGCCGGTAACTCCGCCGTAATATTACCGTCACATAGAACACTGGTACAAATGTCATAATTTCTTTCGTATATATATCCGCCGGAAGATCCGACGGTAATCGTGCATTTTCTTGTAGTGTGTCCTAAACTCAATTCACACTGCTTGATGATCTCTGCGAATTTTTTTCTTGATTCTCCATGATATGATGATATCACTACATATGAAAATGAAGAATTTATAGAGGGTGGTGTTGGACCTTTCCTCATGGCTTGACTCCTTACTTCCATGAATTTCACAAGTTATATGGTCTTCCAACCACTAGTGTATCTAACAACAGTACTTGTTGTCACGACCCAACCCGATCGGAATGAATCTCATCGCGTCGAGTCGAAACAGATGAATCTAGGATCTAGCTTTGGAATTTGGTTTCAGACTTTCTTTCAAATAATCATACAAAAAACACAGAGCTACTATAAACTTCCAATATACTGCAATTAGTCAATCATTTTATTTCTTCTCATTTTTCAAAATAATCATGTACAATACAATGCATAGCCATAAACAGAAAGAATAGAACAGAAGAACAGAATAGCCATGACCACACAAAAATCAAAAGTACAAAAATACCTAATCTTAGATCAGACACAGAACGACTAGTCCAACACCTCCTTCCCTTTTCCAGAACTTAAAAACCATGCAGATAACAAGGATGAGCTAACAGCTCAGCAAGACTACACTAGCCAATCAAAATCTCCAGAAATTCTCATATCAAAATACGCATAAAGGCGTTAAAAACATTTGCCATACAGAATTCAGATAATCGTACAACAATCAGAATATCAGACAGAGGTCAGAGATTTACACATAACAGAAATTAAACAGAATACTTATATTCGTTCATAACAAATGAAGTAATAGAGACAGAAGAACTGAATCAAATTTATGTCACAGAATTATTCAAATCAGAATTCAAATCAATGTTAAGAATAAATTTTAGAAAACATTCAAATCACATTTCATTATAGATTTCCCTGACCCAGACAGAATCTCAAAGGATTATGGCCCCTTATGACTCCCTTCCCTAACACAGACAAAATCTCAAAGGATTCTAGCCCCTTATGCCTCCCTTTGTGCTTACAGCACTAAAACATATCAGATATACAGAATTATCAGATCAGAATTTATTTTTCAGATTCCCTGACCCTGACAGAATCTCAAAGGATTCTGGCCGCTTATGCCTCTCTTCCCTGACACAGACAGAATCTCAAAGGATTCCGTCCCCTTATAACTCCCTTCTGATATCACAACACATCAACATCAAATCATATCAGATACAGAGAAATCAGATTCGTATGAGAATATCATCCACATCGAACATCAAATCACATCATATTCAGAGAAATCATATTCGTATCAGAATATCGTCGGAGAGTATAACGACAGACAACAGAAATTCAACATAACAAAATTCACAGTTTCAGAAAATGATCAAATTACCAGAGATCGTAGAAAACATCATTTCAAGACTTTCATTGTACTGAAGTAATATTTTTCAACATCAAGATAATTTTTTATTCAATAAAAACTCTGCAGAATTCAACTACCCGGTGAAAATTTTTCATAAAATACTCAAAACGTGCAAAAACATCATCTCTAGAACATATCAAAAATTACGCGGTAAAAGTTTCGTCGATACAAAGATAAATCACTTTTAGGCTAACGGAAATGAAAATCGAAACAAGAAATCCATCAAAAAACACATTTCTAAAAATTGAGAAAGGCATAATATGCCTTACCTCAAGTCAATCAACTTTCTCAACTACGGCGACGGACAAAAACGGACTAAAGTCGCTCAAAATCCACTTTTTCTTCCTCTTCCTTCGCTTTTCTCTATCCTCCTCTTTCTCTTTCTTCAAAAATATCTTAAATCGAATATTTATCAAACAGGATCGTCTAGGACGATGCCCCAATCGACCCGGGACGATCTCTTTTGGACTCCAATCGTCCAGACGAAAATTAATTATTTTTCCTGAATGATGCTCTCAGGACAAATTTCATACGGACGAACATACTTTCGTCCTGGGACGAAGCTCTCTGTCACTAAATTTTTAACTGATCGTCCGGATGAAATCCCATTCGTCCGGACGAACCTGGAAGGAAAACAAAAGAAATTCTGGCTTTCACAATCTCCCCACCTTCAGAACAATGTCGTCCTCGACATTCCAAAAGTAAAATTGAGTCAGAATAGATTCGGATATAACTGTCTCATATCCGACTCCTTCTCCCAAGTAGCCTCTCTTGCTGTTCTATGTTTCCACTGAACCTTAACAATCGGAATCTGTTTACTTTTTAACTTTCTTATATCATAAACCAAAATCTTTTCAGGCTCTACTTTATATTGTAGATTCTCCTGAATCTCCATATCATCAACAGAAATTTTCTGTCCAGAATCAGATATCCACTTTCTTAAAGAGGATACGTGAAACATGTTATGTATATCAGACATCTGATCAGGCAATAACAACCTGTAAGCAGAAATACCAATCCTTTTGATGATCTCAAAAGGTCCGACATACCTTGGATTGAGCTTGCTTACTCTTCCAAATCTGCTAACACCTTTCATCGGACTAACTTTGACATATACAAAGTCACCAATCTGAAATTCAACAAATTTGTGCTTCCGATTGTAATACTTTTGCTGTCTATCTTGTGCAGCTTTCAATCTTTCTTTAATCAGATTAATATTCATCACAGTATCATCTACAAAAGTTAAACCCATTACTTTTCTATCTCCCACCTTAGTTAGAGTCAAAGGAGTTCTACACTTTCTGTCATATAGAGCTTCATAGGGTGCTATACCAATGCTTTACTGATAAATGTTATTGTATGCAAATTCAATCAGTGGGATATAATCTTCCCAACTGCCTCCAAAATCCAGAACACATAATCTCGAAAGATCTTCCAGTACCTGAATAGTCCTCTCAGACTGTCCATACGTCTGCTGATGAAAAGTCGTACTGAAATGCAACTTTGTACCCAATCCTTGCTGAATAACTCTCTAAAGTCTGGAAGTAAACCGTCCATCCCGATCAGATACAATCACTTTTGTCACACCATGTAATCTGATAATTTCTTTAACATAAATCTGAGCTAACTTTTCCACCTGATCCATTTGTCTAATCGAAAGAAAATGTACAGACTTCGTCAGTCGATCAATAATCACCCAAATTGCATCATGTCCTTGCCTCGATCTAGGAAAACCCATAGTAAAATCCATCGTCACCTCTTCCCACTTCCACTCAGGGATACGCAACAACTGCAAAAGACCTCCTGGTCGCTGATGCTCTACCTTCACTAACTGACAGGCTTCGCATCTCGAAACAAACTCTGCTATGTCATTTTTCATTCCAGGCCACCAAAATAATCTTTTCATATCTCCATACATCTTACCACTTTCTGGATGAATGGTATAGCCTGAATAATGAGCTTCGTGTAGAATCTCTTTCCTCAGATCTCCAAACATACGAATCCACAGCCTATTCTTAAAGAAAATAATACCAGAATCAGAAATTCGTAGTTCAGGTTTCTTACCAGATTCGATCTAATCAATTAACTTCAAATATTCAGCATCTGACTTCTGAGCTTCATGAATCTTTTCTTCCAAAGAGGGCTGAATAATCATATAAGTCACAATACCAGAATCCAGACCAATAGAGGAAATAACCTCCAGCTATAATCTTTCCATATCTCGTATTAGATACTCATCAAAAGTGAGCTGTAAACATGATAATCCATCAAACTTCCTACTCAAGGCATCTGCCACGACATTAGCCTTACCAGGCTGATACTGAAAAAGTCAGATCATTGTCCTTGATCAACTCAAGCCATCTTCTTTGCCTCAAATTCAGATCCTTCTGAGTAAATATGTACTTCAAACTCTTATGATCCATGAAGATCTCACACCTGATGCCATACAAGTAATGACGTCAAATCTTCAAAGTAAATACAACAGCAGCCAATTCCAAATCATGCATCAGGTAATTCTTTTAATGTGGTTTCAACTGTCTCGAGGCATAAGCTATTACTCGACTATGCTGCATCAGAACACAGCCCAAACCTTTAAGTAAAGTATCACTGAATACCTGAAATCCTTCCGTATCAAAGGGAAGTGCTAACACTGGAGCAGAAGTCAAACAATCCTTCAATATCTAAAAACTAGCTTCACACTCTGGTGTCCAAACAAAAGCTACTGACTTCTGAGTCGGTCTCGTCAAAGGTGCATAAATTTGAGAAAATCTCTTCACAAATTTTCTATAATATCCAGCCATGCCCAAGAAACTACATATCTCAAATAGCGTAGTAGGCCTTGACCAATTAGCAATTGCTTGAATTTTCTGGAGATCAACAGAAATACCTTCACCGCTCATTATATGTCCCAGAAAAGAAATACTCTTCAGCCAGAATTCACATTTGGTGAATTTTGCATACAACTGATGTCGTCTGAGAGTCTCCAACACACTTCTCAAATGTCTGGCATGTTCTTCCTCAGAAGCAGAATATAACAGAATATCATCTATAAAGACGATCACAAACTAATCCAAATAATCTTTGAATACTCTATTCATCAGGTCCATACCGAGCACTGAAAGCTGTTTTCATAACAACAGCCTCCCTCACCTTCACCTGATAGTAACCAGATCTCAAATCAATCTTTGAGAATATAGAAGATCCAGCAAGCTGATCAAACAAATCATCAATCCATGGCAACGGAAACTTAATCTTGATTGTGACTTTATTCAAATCTTTATAGTCAACACACATATGCATTATACCATCCTTCTTCTTCATAAACAGAATAGGTGCTCCCCAAGGAGAGACACTCGAACAAATAAATTCTCTATCCACCAACTCCTGGAGTTAAACTTTCAACTCCGCAAGTTCCTTCAGGTACATCCTTTACGGAGCCTTAGATATTGGAGCTATACCCAAAAATACATCAATACAGAACTCAATATCTCTATCCGAAGGTAAACCAACTAAATATTCAGAAAATACAACCAAAAAATCTCGTATAATTGAGATATCAAAAATAGAACCCGCATCTATATTCATATCCTGTACTGATGCCAAAAACACCGTACAACCCTTCTTCCACATTCTTCTTACTTCAAACATAAAAATCAAACATGACAAAACACCTCTTAACCCTTGGAATACACACCTTTCACCATCCATGAACAAGCTAACTTGTTTCTTCAGACAATCTATTTGAGTCTCATACAAACTCAGTCAATTCATATCCAAAATCACATCATACGAAGAAATCAGCAATAAAATCAAACAAGACATCCACTTCTTGCCAGAAATTTCAATCTCACTGAAACAAAACTTCCGAGCTATCAAATTATTTTCAGCCGGCAATAGAATAGAAAGTGAAATAGGTAATATAACAGAATCCAAGTGAAAAGCATCAAAATAATGCTCGGAAATAAATGAATGACTGGCTCCAAAATCAAACAAAACACGACAGGGATGTTTAGAAATGTAAATAGTACCTGTCACCACATCCAGAGCATCTCGAGCCTCTTGCTGATTCAAACTGTACATACATGGCTGAACTGGAGCTGGAGCTATAGAATAACTAGACTCCCTCTGATTACCACTAGGTGGTCTCCTCACCACAGAACCCGAACCACCAACTCTATAGATGATCCTTCAGAAATAGTACGTAGAGGAACTGTCCTAGACCTTCCTGCCGGTCTAACAAAACTCTCAGATCTGGACTCAGATCGTCGATCAAATCTGGCTTGTGGACACTCTGCAATCTGATGTCCTAGTTGACCACATCTGAAACACTGACCAGTCATTCTGTAACACTAGCCAAAATGTCGTCGTCCATAATTTTGGCACATAGGTGCCCCACTGACTGAACCCCGAACTGACCACACTGTCACTACCAAAAACTGTAACAGATACTAACTGTCCACTCCTCTTGGAGTCTCCAAATACAAATCTATTTTTCATCCTTGGAAAACTACTGTCAGATGCATCACCACTGAATCTCTTCCTACTAGCAGTCCACCGCTGCTGAGTAGCCATTAGATCATTCTCTATCATTCGAGCTCTCTCCACAAGCTCAGAGAAATAAAAAATGTGAAATGGTACCAGGGGTTGCCTCAAACTATCTCTTAGTCCCCTCATAAATCTATAGCACTTCTCCGTAGAAGTACTCACCAACTGTGGAGCATATCTGGCTAACGCAATAAACCCTGCCTCGTACTGCATAACTATCTTGCTCCCCTGAACCAATCTCATAAAAGTCTCCTACATTTGTTGTCTAACATAAGATGGTACAAACCAAGATCTAAATACTTCAAAAATTTCTTCCCATGTAATCAGAGAGTTCAGTTTACCTTGAAATTTCTCCTCCTGTTGGCCCATCCACCAGCGCTCTGCTTCATCATCTAATAGAAAAACTGCTAACGGTACCTTTCTATCAGGAGGACATTGCATGCCATCAAATGTCTTTGCCAATCTCCTCAACCAATCCTCAGCTGCTTTGGGCTCAACAGTGCCCTCAAACCTTGAAGGCTTCAATCTCATAAATATTTGTAGATGTCTATCTACATCTTTAGTTATAACAGCAAAAACTCTATTCTGTGTCTCGCTCATCATCGAGCAACCAACATAGCAAACTGTGAAACTGTATCTGAACCAACCACTGGGGCAGAACTATTCACAGGAGCTGCCTGACTAGCATTATGCCCTTCGGTCATATCTGGGTCTGGCAGATCCATATCACACAAAATACAACTTTGAACATAAAGCAAAAATAATAAAAACCCAGACAAGCTAAAACTATCCCACCAAACTTATAGATCAATTCCTATAGCTCTGTCTTACAATCCCATATTCCAAAATTATGCTCTAATACCACTCTAATTTGTCACGACCCAACCCGACCGGAACGAATCCCATCGCTTTGAGTCGCGACAGATGAATCCAAGATCTAGCTTTGGAATTTGGTTTCAGACTTTCTTTCAAATAATCATACAGAAAAACAGAGCTACTATAAACTTCTAATATACCGCAATTCATCAATCATTTTCTTTCTTCTCATTCTTTAAAATAATCATGTACAATACAGTGCATAGTCATAAACAGAAAGAACAGAACAGAAGAACAGAATAACCATGATCATATAAAAATCAAAAGTACAAAAATACCTAATCTTAGATCAGACACAGAATGGCTAGTCCAACACCTCATTCCCTTTTCCAGAACTTGAAAACCACGCAGATAACAAGGATGAGCTAATAGCTCAGCAAGACTACACTAGCCAATCAAAATCTCCAAAAATTCTCATATCAAAATACGCATAAAGGAGTTAAAAACATTTGCCATACATAATTCAGATAATCGTACAACAATCAGAATATGAGATAGAGGTCAGAGATTCACATAGATAGAAGTCAAACATAATACTTATATTCGTTCAGAACAAATGGAGTAACAGAGACAGAAGAACTGAATCAAATTTACGTCACAGAAATATTCAAATCAGAATTCAAATCAAAGTTCAGAACAGATTTTAGACAATATTCAATCACATTTCATCACAGATTTTCCTGACCAAGATAGAATCTTAAAGGATTATGGCCCCTTATGCCTCCCTTCCCTGATACAGACAGAATCTCAAAGGATTATGGCCCCTTATGCCTCTCTTTGTGCTTACAACATCAGAACATATCAAATATATATAATTATCAGATCAAAATT